GGCTTTCGTTAATGCGAATTTGAAATTACACCCTAGACCACAGTGGCTCGAACGAGTTCCTCACAAACCATAAAACGAACTGTCCGAAAAAAGTTCCTGTCCTTTTCCCTGTACGCCTTGAGGTTGTCACCCATAAAACCAACTAAGAAAGTGGTTCACCATCGTCAGGTCCGTTGTCGGCTGTTTGAGCATTGCGACAGACATTCTTTGTTGGAAACAGGACGGAATCGAAATATGTGCGGCCCCTGCACAGATCTCCTCGTTTGAGGCGATGTAATTCGACGTGAACTCGGAACCCTGTGTCAACTAGGTCTGACAGACATACGGTGAGCTCATGAACTCTCGACTAACCCTAACTGTGTGGGATCTAACCACTTCGTTTGGTGGGACAGACACTTCTTCCACATGTCCTATAGTTCCCTTATGAGATTACTTAACCAGGGGCAGTGATTTTTTGCCTTATCTCAAAGGACATGCCGAAAGAAGTGGTCCCCCAGGGGAGGACAGGTGTAATACAAACGGCAGCAATACCTGATTATTATGAAAGTAATATCAATCTCAGTCAGACGGCAAGACTTCCATTAGATGCATCCTACCTGGATCACAGACATGGCAATCGTCGAATTCCGGTCTTTGCGGGCAGAATGTGACCCAGTCAGCGAATGGACTTGAGTCCAGTAATTGACCATTCGGTGAGAACGCTCCGACCAAGTCAGTTGTGCACACTGAACAGCCGGTTTGCCCGGTCCAGTCCCAGTAAGGCAGAGCGAAGTTGTCTCCATCCCGTTTGGAAAAAGGATCCGTAGGCAGCGGGTTCAACCTGCCCAGTTCTTCCTCCACAAAAAGCACATAGGCACGATGCCAGGTAGGAAAGCCTGGGCCCTAAAATTTTGGAAAATCGTATAGCGCTGTGTGTACTTCGATCACTTCGCTAGCACTCATACACCCGACAGACTGAAATGGCATTAGAGCAGACTACTTCTAGTAGCCCAGCGGGAAAGGGGAAAACGGTATTTTGTGAAATGTTTTGAAGCAAAGAGGATCGGTCACGTGTATAAGGCTGCACTGCATCTTTAGTAACAAAGCAACCTGAAAGTCACAGAACAGATACTATCCGCGGACAGTCCTGGATCGGTGAAAATGACGGTTCCGGATTTCGGAGTCCCAAAGTCTCGAGGAGAAGGCAGTAGGTGGGGACGTATAAAGTGTATACTTAAAGTCACTGAGTTTTTTGGAAAAGATACATGAAATTAGAGATTTTTACTTTCAGTTTTATCCGGACCTGAAAATTGATCAGTGTGTACCAGTTTTATGCATACCAATTGCACTGAGTAGTTGCTGCATCATTTTGTGGTCAAACTCGAAGATCACGGAATGTTCTCCCAGCACCGAGTCATGAATTTGGTCCTACAAGCAACGCTTTTAGTTATTCTGTAAGTCCATTTCTGACACACGAGAATCCCTTTCCCTTTGGAGTCCCCAAGAACGAATGGAATGAGACCGCCCAAACATGAATAAGTGTTCTGAACTGTCACATAACCATTAGCCACCAGGTGAAGGCTTTCAATGCAAAACTTACTTTGTGAGCAAAATCAAGTTTCTGTTGTCTGGGATCACATTTTGACTGCCAGATTGAACTCATCGTCAACGTGCTTCTCGAAGCATACACATGCAAGAAGACAAAGTAGTCGTAGACCGATGGAACTTGAACCAACTGAATAGTTCTCAAATTTGCCGGATCCCCATTGAGACTGGTGGAAATATTGAGAGCAAGCCACTCGGTCATTGGTGTTCTCTTGGACAGACTGATGCGGTCACGAAATTGGCGTTGTTCCGCTACGCTTAGGGTGAGTACATTCTGACGAACACGGGTCGGGCGACGGATCGTACAGTTGACTCCGGTCCATCCAGTCTTGCACCGGTGGCATGCAAACCCTTTGAAGTTTCCCTAAACAGGTGGAAATGATGATGCACTTGGGATAAACACAATCAGGAGTTGTGGGATACACCCCTACAATCTAAGTTCTCAGCTGATCGCAAGAATCGAAAGTGGACTTCCAAACGGAAGAGATCAAAAATAATGTGCTTTTCTGTATTGGTAATTCCCAACAGCTGCCGCGGAGCCGCAGGTGGCCCCTGAAAACGAACTTTTCTTTGTTGTAGTCAGGGTTTACTGTCTCCTAATCAGAAATCTCTCTTTGAGATATTTTACTTGTTGTATGATACTTTCCGAATACTACAGAACGTCTTCAATTGATACGAAAAAACGTTCTGTAGGGAGGCACTTTATACGAATTGTGATGGTCCTATTCCACAGTTGCTGAACGATAATTCCAGAGAAATACACCAAATAAGTACAGAGTCAGAGCGCCGTCTGGTACACATGGTTGAGGGTGTAGTTGGACGCACGCTGTCGTGATGTTCCTACTCACGTTTGATCCGGGTGTCTATTAGTTCTCTCTTAAACATTTGAACGACTTAGCACAATAGGCCATGTTTTCAAAATAGGAATGCTGTACTCCCAGGCCAACCTGTTTTCTCCCAAAAGTTGACCAGATGTGATCGCAACACTGGTTCGTTTTATGCGGCAATTAGCTACTAAAGCTGAACCAGTAACCAGGTAGGCTACTGGTCATATAATCAAACATTTTGAAAACCTTTGTGGTTCTGGGCGTACATCTCCTCAAAGAAGACCGCAGTCAAAAATGATATACCATTAATTCACGAAGCACTACCAGTGTAACGGTGGATACTACTGATAGGGGTATGCAAGTAGTATGTTTCCCCATAAATCCACTTCGCGTCTCTTGCAAACGGCGATCTATTACGGAATTTGTGGAGTCGCATTTGCTTGCACTTGAGCAATGAATATCCAGGAAAGTTGAGGAAGACGCTTTGAAGGAGAAGATGGATATCTAGTTTTCGTAAACAAAATGCATATGGGAGTTTTGCTTCCCTGTCCAGTAGTCTGTTCACTTGGCGTTTTCTAATAAATAACTCCGCAGCGGAGGCCTTCTTCCTTTCACCAGTTGCACACATATTTACTTTTGAAAGGAATCCACATGAATCTTTTATTTGTAGTATTCTGCTCGCGTTAAAACCAAATTGGCATTCCTAGTATTCTGCTCGCGTTAAAACCAAATTAGCATTCCAATAAATGTTTCACGAATTGCGTCTACTTCGGCTCTAATCAGGACATAAATTTGATGGAAACTATGGAATGCGCCTAGTTGATGAACCGCAAGAAAGGTTAAACCGGTCACTGACTACAGAAGAATTTCCGGCAAACTGATGAGTTCGGTTCTGTTAAGTTTTGCCATATTGGGGTAGACAGGTAAATTTCCAGGCGTCTTCGTGGACTAAACCGATGTAATTAAGTTGAGAATTTAAACTCATTCAATGGTCTACACATTGAACACAACTATTTCATACCTGGCATGAACATAACGCCTGAAAAAATCGGGTTGGCCAATTCAGCCGGTCGTCCAGCAATATTTGTTCTTCCAGTGGAAACGCTTCAAGATCCTCAGGTGGTGAGATCACCTCCTTGCACAAGCCTCGTCCCGGTCCGCCACACGCCTGAGTGGCATCTAAAACATATTTGAAAGGTACAAGAGAGGGCGTGACACATTCAATGAATGTGGACATTCCGAAAAACGTACTCAGATGACAGAAACAGTATTCTCCAATTCACTTCAACGTTTTCTTCGTCATGCATTTGTGAAAAACCAGTTGCTCACATTTTTCTTTTCTCAGAATGGCCACTGACTTCATTAGCTGTTCGCTTTTCTCCGCGAAGCTTGTAGTTAAGGCTTGGCTACTTTCTACAGTCTGGAGTTTGATAACAGGGTCCTCACAACTTTGTACCAGAACTAGTTTTCTAAGGTACACTTCACCTTTCATCTCAGTCACTTGCACGTTTCCTACTATGCGTAAGTGAGTCTTTGTTTGATGATATTCCTTTTCTATTATGGCCTCGAAGATGAACGCGAGTATTGATTTACGAAATCTACTTCTATTATGTAAGGAGGATAACGTTTTGAATTGGCGAGTTCTCTGACCGATATGGAGAGGAGAACAATAAACCAGGCTGAGAGATTGGTGTAGGCAGTCTTGATCCGACGGACTAGTATGATACAACACGAATCAGTAATGCGTAACTGGCCAGATTTGCGGGCAACCATCCGGAAGTTGGATTCGTCTCCCTTCATCGGGACCCAGATTAAAGGTAATATGCAGCAGATAAAACTGCAGTCTTGGGGTTTTGCGGGGTAGATATTTTGTTCACTCTCGTTTGAACGGTCATCCTCCTGTTCTGGCGCAATTCGTCCGGTGATTCCACACCAAAGGGAAGTACTGGACTCGAGCCTCGCCCTTATTAGAGCTCATCAGCAGTGCATAATCCAATGGCGTGCCGGAATTTGAACCCCGAACATCTAACATGCGAGGCGACCGTGTAACCACTACTCAGTCGCTCGCCCAAAGTCATTACCTCCAAACCAATGGGTGCTTTTGAGTGCCGAAGTGCTCTTATGGGGGTCCAAGTATATGTTGGTAGCGTGAAAAGACTTGGTATTTTCAACGGATATTTCGTTCTGTGAGTGAAGCCAGGAAAGCCGGGTCCACTTTTGTTTCCTCCTGGTCGAGAATTATCACCAACGCACACCTCACAAAATTCAAGCGAGTTTTGGAAACGCAGTCTCCAGGTTAGAAACTCGGCCACGAGCGGCTGGCCAGCAATGCGATCAACTCACAGCTAGATAGGAAATAGCGCTACTCCTTCAGCTACGGGATCAACATCACGTGGACACATATTGACTGGGTCCTCGAGTGAAGACTTCTCAACAAGTTTTAGTCATTATATGAATTGTTCATTCTCTCAGCTACTTGGTATTTGTTATCTCAACGCAGGAGAGAAAACGCACGACGCGGGCTAATAGTGCCTACCCTAGAGGTGCTATTCTGCCGTTCGAAGTGAGCTTCCTGAACCAGTGACCCATTTCGAGCTNTCCTAGGTGAAGACAGATCAACCTTGTCAAAGCAGGAGGATGGATTTATCGTAAGTACTGGTTTCAAGATCACCGAATTGGATAGCCTACTGCAAAAATACAGCTTGAATTTTGTGATATTGATGGGGTAAGTTGGTATTCCTAATGAGCACACCAAACACAAGTTACCAGAATTATTTTTAGGTATCCCCCATACAAAGACAAGTTGACGATAGTTTTCCAAACACACGGAGGTAACATTGTAGTGGAAGACCTAAGAGCAATCTTATCTAATAAAAATAATCGTTCAGCCGCCATACCATCCAACGGAAGCATGAGAGCTCAAATAATGTCAGGTTACCCAAGCCTGCACTGGAGCAGTCGAGATGCTAAGGTTGGGTTCGAACCATGAACCTTCCTGAACCAGTGACCCATTTCGAGCTTGATACTTAACTGATGTTCATGGGAACGAGTTGGCTCAGTGGTTAGAGCGAGAATTTACCAACCGCAAGGTCCGTGGTTCAAACCCGACCTCTGCCTCTCGATTCTCCTGACTGACTAGGTTTGGGCAACCTCGCAGTATCCCAGCCCTCGTGCTTCCTTCGGGCACCGAAAGGGTGTTACAGCTGAATGCCTTACTTTTATTTCCTTGTTTCTTGAGCGCAGCAGTTGCAAAAAGAATGGAATCTAGTGAGAATGAATTGTCGTGCTGCTTACCTATTTCCTGGTCAGCCTCCTGGATTAGCCAATGTTCAACTCCCTTTGATTACCTGCTTGATGCAGGCGCTAAACTTAGTGTTAGAATCCCCAGAATTCCATCTAGTGAACGGATTCTCTAAAAACTTTGCGCCAATAAATCGAACACACAAGAAAGAGTAAAAAATCCACTTAATCATCCAAAGAGAGTTCATCCAACGACGAGTGCGACGTAAAATTAGGAGAGTTAGCGGTTTGAAACTGCTCCTTGTTGAGTTTGCTCATAAAAATGGACGTCGCTCACGGAAGACTCTCTCATACAAGTCTTAAACCACTGTGCGACTGCACTTCCAACTTTAATGTACCCATAGGTGTGACGTGGCCCGTGTGCGTTTCAGTTGGACTTTCTATTATGCTACTCGGTGGATTGAGTCGTATATAGACGAGTAGTGTAGCCGCAGAAATCTTATCTACCAAAACCGGTAAATTCATTCCGTTCTGATTTTGACCACCGACAGATTGCTTTGACCAGAATGAAATTCCTATTATCCTTGTCTCTTCCAGTATTTCCCTCCACTCATTCTTCCGTAAAGTTTGATCTTCTTTTTTTGATAAAGGGAACTATTCACAAAGTTGCTGAAAACTCTTCGACAGCCCACGACCGGTTTCACCCTTCTTGCGGATCATCAGGCAGGCACAATCCCCGATTTTCCGTCAACCTTATGTTCTACTTTGTTCTTATGTTCTTCTTTGTACAACAAAGAGGCGTTGTCTATCCTATTGTGCCGCAGGGAATTCGTTACATCCACCAGATACGCTTTACACGCAAGCACAAAATGAGATACCTTTATTCCTTCAGAATACTCATTACTGTCATCAACAATTTCACAGCCAAAATTTCCATTCACTGAATGTTTGGTGACGTTAATTTCGTTACGTTGCACCTACTGTTCATTCTAGTGTGTCTACAGAAGAAATATTCCTCCAACCCGATACTTAAAGAGATAATATAGTTGTCATCCCATAGCTGATCCAACTAATTCATTTTGTGAATAGTTGTACCACATCTGTCCGAGCTTTCACAAATCCATTACACGAATTT